CTAGGAGCTAGCAATTTTTCTTAATTATATTCAATATGCTAATGCATTTTTTTGAGATGAGAATGTTCCTTTTGTTTAGAAAATTTAAAGACTACAGTTCAAAATGTAGGAATGAATAAAGCTGTTATTTAACATGAAATCAGGAGGATAAAAGGAAAGCAAAAACAAGAAAAAGAAAGAAAGAAAGAAAACTTGTATTAAAATAAATCACCAAATCTTTTTTTCATAATGATGTAAGAGTCACAAAACATAAGAAAACAAAAGTGCAAGTAATTAATGTTTTAAAAATGATTCTGAGAACATAGTGCTTATTTTTAGAGCAAGAAGCAAACTTTTTTTATTTTAGAGCACAAGGCAAGCAAAGATAGTTTGGGAAAGCCAAAACCAAAGTTCATCTAAGGAAAATGTAAGGAGATTTATAAACAAAGCTTTTCAGAGTTGTAAACACCTGTGCTCTTTTACTCCACCCTTAATAGACATTTCTATTATTTTGTTCACGTGCTCTGAACATCGCTGACATTCATATAGCCATATGAAGTGATTAGCCAGAATAGACAGGCATTATCACACTCATTTTAAGTGAGAAAAAATTAACAAGTCCATCACTGTAAGATTTGAGCCTGGACTACAGATCTTTTTATTCTAAACAAAATATGCTTCACAGCTCAATCTGTTCTTGATATTTTAGATGTAGAGAGAGTAGTGTGAGACAACATCAATAATCTTAAAGATTAAATTTTTCAGCATGTATTATATATTCCTCACAAAATCTAGTTCTTCCTGTTGTCAATCAACCCCAGAAGCCTCTGTCTCATTTATGGATTACTTGAAAATAAGTGGTACATAAACTTGTAAAACCTAAGATATAATTAAAATGCTTTTAAATAATAAATATTACATGGTTCATTTGTCTCATTTTGGTTTTTTTTTTTAATATCAAGTATGGTATTGGCTAAAGGTCATTTTATCTCATTACTTATATTCTAATTAAATTATATAGAATTAAATTAACACAAACCTCCAAAATATAGTGCATACCCAGATTCAGAGATGATATGGGTTCCTCAAACTTCAGAATTTCTTTAAAATAATTAATTTCACACTAAGATAGTAAAATCTTTGTTATCTTTGGCAATATTTGGCAATTGTTTTTTGTTTTTTGGTTTTTTTTTCATTTTCTAGTGACTCCAAGATAGGACATTTAATCACATTCACACATATCAACCTATATATGTGCTAAAGCAAGGTAGTTCATAAACGGTGTGATATTGGACACCTGGCAAAGTTCAGTTTCACAGTTTCACAGGCACTGAAATTCAGTATCAGTGTTTGTTCCATTTACAAGGATACTAAAAAACCTCATTTAACGATAACCAGTTGAAGTAATTTTGTTGTTGTTGTTTTTATATTCCCGTAAGTATCCAAATCCTGTATTTTGGGGGTGGAAATAGTAGCATTTGTTATTGGCTTATTCAGTGTCAACCACTTTATAAACCACTCATTTTCATCACATTTAGACGTGTCACTGCTACCAATCCTAACTCTTTAAAAAGATTTTTGAACATATAGATCAAGTTTCCACAAAGAATCAAGAGTCTGCACTGGGAAACCATTTCACTCCTTAGGTAGTTACACTAACATCATCACACTAAAGCCCTTCAGTGGCCTCAACTATTAAACAAAACTGCAACAAGATAGAGGTTGTATATAACATTTCCACAAATGACAAAATAAGAAAGAGAAAAAGTGAGTGTGAGAGAGAAATGACCATTAGCATATAAGGGATGAGCACTGAGGCTTCTCGTTCATTTTAATTGCTCTGTCATTTACATGCCAATCTCCAGGGGTGAAGATCTTGATGGGTACACAGGATGGCTTGTGAAGTGACAGCTGGCTGCTCCTAACTGCTCTATGCCAGTTAGCAGTTTTCCTGTAATTGATTGCAACTAATACCCAATTAATTTATTTTCTTAAGCAAGTATGACATCCTTATTCTAGATCAAATTTTAAAAACAAACGGCTACTACAAGAAATATTTCTCAAGTTGGAAACGCTGTGTCTAAGAAAGAACAGAAAAAAAGAAAAGAAATTACAGTAATTTTTGACACACTGAAAAGACTTTCTGTTAGTCACAAATAATCATTCTTTTACTTTGAATGATCATTATTAAATCAAAATTAAACAAATAGTACCTAAAGGGTAGAAACATCTAAAAATGATATCCACTGGTTATAAACTGACTGTTTGTGTCCTCACCCCAAATTCATGTTGTAGCCCAAACCCCCAATGTGGCTATATATAGAGATGGGCCCTCTAGGAAAGTATTATGGCTAAACCAGGTCATTCGCTAAGATTAGTGTCATGTTAAGAAGAGACACAAGAGAGCTCATGTGAGCACATGTCAAGTAGGCAGCTATCTACAAGCTAAAAAGAAGACCCTCACAAGAAACCAAATTTGCTGGCACCTTCATCGTGGACTTCCCAGCCTTCATAACTGTAAGAAAATAAATTTCTATTGTTTAAGACACCAGTCTGTGTTATTTTTTAATAGCGGCCCAGGAGGGCTCCTTTTATGGCTTCTATCACATTCTATAACTTCTTGTATTACTCATTCTGTAACGTCTTCCCATATACTCTTTTTTTAAAGAGGAGGCCAAGATGGCTAGTGTCCTCTTGGGGAACAATTGGAGAAGCATATCTTTAAAAAGGGAGCGGATAGTCTTATAATCTGGGCCTGGACTAGAGTGAGGTCACAAAAACAAAAAGAACAAACAAACATAAAAGCTCCCATGTTTATGTCTCATTTAGTTAATCAATGTTTATTTAGCACTGCCATGTGTTAGACATGGTTTAGATAAAAATATAAGCTACTGAAATGATACATCAAAACCCTAACCAACAAGAATGTGACAGTAAATGAACAAAAGGCTACAAATACAATATGAATATATGAAGAATGTGCTAAAGGAGCAACAAGGAATGATCAATTAACTGTTAGTGTGGGTTTTGATGAATGTTTTGCATAAGAGATAGTGTAAGTGCTGATGCCTTTAAGACATTTGCCAGAATAAACAGGAGGAAAGAGAATTATGGGCAATGGCCATGGTGTTTATAACAATGCCATGATGAGAGAGGAAATATTAAGAGAACCATTAGAATAACCCAGTGAATTATGCAGATAATCCTCTGAGGCCGATCTCCTCATCCTCTGTGATGTTAAGGACCACATTTTTATCTCCCTCTTTTAAGAAGGAATGTTTAAGTGGGTTAAGCAGTTTTATAGTAACAGAGATGAAGAGAATAGTATCTGCATGAAAATTTCTAAAACAAACTAGCAGCCCATTATAAAGTCCCAAATAATACTTCTGAGAACCTATTCACTCAGCTAATATCAGACATCCATATCCATCCACTGATACCCAGTGTTATTTGTTGCAAGTTAACTTCCAAATTGCCCTTGACAAATGATTCCTTGTTTGCACGCCAAACACATACTTAACACATATGTCCACACATAGAGAATGAGGAGAAAAGAGATCCATATTTACAGCACTGCTTTATTATTATTATTATTATGTCATTAGGTCTAGGATGGTTTAGTGTAAAATCTTAGCATGAAATCTTCCTTTTCCTCACAATATGTAAATGGGGTTTTCATAGCTCAAGTACTCAAAAACATTTAAATTGAGAGGGCCCTTTGCATCAGAGTTTAGACTATTCAACTTTATGGAGAAGGCTCCTTTTCCCTGATAAGCCTAATCACCCAATGTGGCATATATTAACACGTTGAATAATCAGTTTTGTCAGTTTCAGTAGGGTTTAACTAGAGAATTCCAACTATATTATTTCTTTATATGTGAAAAATGGTTCTCTTAGTTTTTTTCTGTTGGCCCCATATAAATTAGCACCAAACCAGTCTGGTTATCTCCACATTGCATCTATTTGTCTTCAATTATTGATGGTAACAATATAAAAATTTTTTTAAAAATTGATAAATTATTTTCAAGTACACTGAATAAAGGATAGTATAAAACTCATTTTCTTAGATTTTATAATAAATAGACCCTTCCTGGTAAATGATCTCTATCCTCACACTGTTAAAGTAACATTAGTTCAGCTGAATGAAGGTCCCTGAGGCAAAAACAATAAATGGCCACTTTCTCATTCAACTACATGAAGTTGACCTTCAATAAAATATGATACCTGAGATTGCTAGTTATTTCTGATAAAGCTAAAAAGTAGTGGCAATTTTTTTTCCTTAGGATGCATACAAAAGAAATATTTATGATTTGTTAAAAAATACAATCAAATAGAATAAAATGTTAATCTACATAACTGCTGGTAAACTGCTTTGAGAAAAAAATCACCAAATATTCACTTTATTCATTCATTATATTCCCCCTTTTTCCCCCAGGAGAATCGTAATTATTTTTATGTGTCCTTTTTAGAACACAGAATTAACGTTTCAATTTTACTTGAGCACAGAAGGATTTGTGTATATATTATACAACTAGTAATCATTATTTTAACTTCGTCTTTTCTAAGCTTATTTGTCCAGGGTTCTTGGTTGCACTAATAACTGGCTTAATTATCAGGCTACTGCAAGCACAAAACAAAAGGGTATTTAGTGAAAAGATCTGGGGAGTTCAGAGAATCCACTGGAAGGTTACAGAACCAGTTTTGGAAGTGAGCAAAAACAAAGGCAACTCTGGAGGCCTAGGAAACAAAAAACATAAGCAGAACAGTCTTCTGGTAGGAACAAGTGGCTGGCATGAGAAGCATGATGTCTGGGAATAATGTACTCCAACTATTTTTCGGTCATCATTCATGATATTCTTGATGCATTAAAAATTGTACTTAATTTAAGAAGAATTAAATTCTTGTGAAATTTAAGTGCTCAATTATTCCATAAATTGAAACAACCTTTTACCCTTGACATTGTATATACAACATATCAATTTACCTCAAAATAACTAATTGGTGTGTGTACATTTGTATATACTTACATATTTTATCCTAAATTTTATTACTCCACTATGAAAGGTGTTCCATCTTGACCAATATTCACATCTCACGTCATTTTCTCTTGACATGCTTGAAAATAATTTCCTTCTATTCTTCTCTGCAGTCTTCTTTGTCTATCAGCTAATAAACAACCAATAACCAAATTGGATTAAAATGTTGTGAGTCACTACAAATAAAGATAATTTCTTATAAATACTTGGCAAGCAGAGAGAGAACATTAGGCTGATTGGACTGCATTCAATATGAAGTAGAGTTCTAAATTGTTTGAATTGAGCTTCTACTGCCAGTAATCCTGGTGGAGCTCTTACTGCACCAGTCTCTCCAGCAATAACAACTATTTACTGTAAAGCACTATACAAAAAAAGTCTCAATCACACAGTATCTTGCATCATGTCTTACATAGTAGATACTCATACATATCTGCCATATACATTAATACTATTTAGAAGCAAGCATGATTCATTAAATACTTTCCCCATGAACTATAGTATCTAATACCTGAATAGTAGAACAAGAGACAGAGCTTTAGCATGTTCTATAATGTGAGTACCAGCTTTTATCTAAGTATTACAACTGGTCTTTCTATACACAGCTGGGCTCCTATTAAAGTTGGACATTAGTTAACTAGATTATTAATGTCTTTATATCACATTCTAATAGCACAGTCACCTTCTCTACTTAATAAAGTACTTGAACTGTATAAACAACCTCTCTGTTTGCATATTCTAACCCAGCAGGAACTAAAGCCAAAGCTCTAAGCCTGCAATTATCTTGTTACATCTGTAAATATGGAAATGAATAAATTTAAGGAAAGACCAGGTACACTGTGAGTTTGTGCTTTGTTATTTCTTTCCAGAGTGTAATACAAATGGAATTTGATGAGCAAGAGAGAAAATTTAGGTGTACTTCCACCTTTTTCTTTGTAAGATTCTTATTCTTGTGTTTCATTAATTTAATATTGAGTGGAATACTCCACATACCTTGCTGCCTCATCTCACTCATTTGTCCCCAGCCTACACAGGACAAGAATCAGAATGGAAGATACATGACCTTGAACCACCTCATCCTATTTGCTTACCTTAATATTCCATCCTCCCTACCAGTCTGCACAATGAAGTCAAGTTCCACTCCTGTTCCCGTCTTGCTTCCAAACCCTACTCATGATCCTTTGGCTGGTGGGACTCAGAGACACAGCCCTAACTTTCCCTTTAGCCTATTTATTTCTAATTCCCAAGTCCAGCTACTATTCTGTCAGAAGAAGTGAGAACTTATGTCAGGAAACATGAAAAGAAATAATAATAAGAATAGTGGTCGAATAGTTAAAAAATTATTCTCTGTTCATAAAAAATGGCACACTCTGATGTCATTAAAATTGTGTTAATAAAAAGTCACATAGAAAGATGATTTTTAAAAATATAATGTTGAAAAATAGATTAAAATGTGATTTCATGTTTATGAAAAATGTGCCAAATGAGTGTAATGTGAAAAGTTTGGAATATTATATAATGCTCTTGTTAATTATCTCTAAGCAGTAGGAGTAGGGCTCATTTTTCTTTCACAAAGATCATTTTTTGTTTCTTATTTTTAGTGAATAGTTACTATTGTTCTCATTTATTTTATAAGATGAATAACTGAGACAAATTCATTGTTCTTAATCTTTTTTTAAGCAAAATCATGTCCATACAGCCAGAGGTGAAACTGAGATTTAGAGTTTTTGGATTAATTTTGGAAAAAAATGCTAAAACATCTTACTTCACACAATTAACATCTACTGTACACTGGTTCAAGTAATTAGAAGTACATTTCTAATAATTAGGCTTAATTCTAGTCAGGCTTTAGATTACTCATTTTGGATGCATGGATAATCAGGATTTGATTATATATAATATATAATATGTAACATATTATATATGCAATTACATATATCTAATAAATTTGTCCTAGAAATCATATATTATTTATATATACTATATATATATATATATATATAATTGTACCTGTGTGTGTATATATACCAACATTTTCAACAAATATTGACATTTAAATCTTCTTATAAAAATAATACTCTTGGTCACAAAATCAGTTAGCTTATTTCCTTATTTATAATTTTAAACATTCCTGCCAGTCCTATGTAAAAGTAAGCAAGCATTCTTAGTTCATTGATTTCCCTCAAAGTAAAGCAACAACTATTTTCTCATGGCTTAGAGGAACAAAGGTAATTCATGGGAAATTCCATTTAATCAGCTAGTAAATAGCAATTACTCTGAATTTGAAAATAGTACTGATTCTGAATTAGATCCTAGGGAATTAAGTAGTGACTAATTAAGTACATTTTACTGTACTGTACTCAAATTATCAGGATTGATACGTTCTAAGTCAGTACAGCAAGTAAACATCAATACTTCTCAACATCACTACTGCAAATAACTCTCTAATAGGTATTCTGTAAAATCATAGCCAGCACTCCACAACAATAGGAAATGACTTCCCCAGCAATGGCCCTTAACAAGATTTCCACAGTGCCTGCAAAATAGAATTGATTGCCATTTCTGGCCTCTCCAGTGAACAAAGGAGAAGAAGAGAAATAAGAAATAAATATTTTCCCCATTAATACTTTTAATATATAGTTATGAACTGAATGTTAGTAGCAATATGAATGTTAAAAAGCTGCTTCTGGTAAGAGCTCAGAAGAAAATAAGAAAAATGTCATTGGCAACTGGAAAGACAATATTTGTTATATAGTGAGAGAAAACATGGCTAAATTATGTCCTACAGCTGTGGAGGGAGCAGGACTTGTAAATGACAAACTTGGATATTTGGCTGAGGAGAATTCAAAGCAAAGTGTTGAAGGTGTGGCCCGGTTTCTTCATCTGTGTTATAGTAAAATGCAAGAAGAACAAGATAAATTGAGAAATAAAATGTTAAGGATAAAAGAACCAGCATTTTATTATTTGGGAAATTCTTAACCTAACCGGATTGCAAAAGACACCAAAATTAAACTCACTGTTAGGAAAGTGTGCTCTGGAAAGAAGGCAAAATGTGTGGCTAGATAATTTACTGAAGAAGTTAGGTATGAGATTTATAGATCCACTCAACCATCTCAGCAGAAGCCAGGAAAAGAGAGAGGACAATCCAAGAAATATCTGTAGAGTGCCCTCTTGTATAATTGTGTGAATCCCCATGACAACATATGCAGGAGACCCACAAGGGTTTTGAAAAGATTGTAGCAGCACAAACACTGCCAGCTGGACTGACAAGGACAGAGAGAGGACAAAATGAAGAAAGAAACTTATCAGACCTCCAAAATTTTACAGGAAGGAAAGAGACTGATATTGCTACTTGGCTACAAATATGTTCTATCCTTCAAGAAAAGGAAGAATTACCCAGATGAGTGAGCTGCAGGCACAAGAGATCTATGGAGACATGAGTGCAAAGGCCTATAGACCTATAGCAGTAAGGCAGAGGCTGGAGGCCTGGGAACAGAGGCAGAGGCCTGCTAAACCATCAAAAGTTCAGAGGTGAAGGTTTACTGAATTGCTTCTGGGGCAGAAGCTATAGAGCTATCTCAAGTACAGAGGCTTATGTAGCTGCCATGGATCTAGACAATGAAGTCATGGGCCTAGAAGGCAGTCCTCCAAGCCACAAGGGATTTTATCTAGGCCTTGAAATCTAATTGAATTAGGCCTACTGGGTTTTGAACTTGCCTGGGACTGGTGATCCTTTTATTCCTTCTAATTTTCTCCCTTTTAAAATGGAAATGTTTGAAACTATTATAATATTCCTATTCCATCATGTATCTTCAAAGAAGATAACTTATTTTTTAGTTTCATAGATCCATGGATGAAGAGGAATTTTGTCCCAGAAGAGAATGTACCCAGTATCTCACCCATACCTGATTTCAATGGTGACATTTGGGGTTTTTGAGTTGATGATATTTAAATGAGATTTTGGACACAGAGTTGGCACTTTAATAGGCTGAAATTTTGGGGAGATGCTGGAATGGGGTGAATGCATTTTGTTCATGGGACAGATGTAAATTTTTAGGGCTCTGAGGGTAGGCTGTAAGGACTCAATGGTGGCCCCCAGAGGATATGTCCACATCTTTATCTCTAGAACCTGTGAATGGTTTTTCATTTGGCAAAAGAGTCTTTGAAGATGTAATTAAATCAACGATCTTAAGATGAGATCATTCTGCATGATCTGGGAGAGCCTTAAATTCAATGGCAAGTGTCCTTATAAATGATGTACAGAGGAGAGACACAGAGGAGGAAGCAATATGACACAGAGACAGAGATTAGGGAGTTATGGCCACAAGCCAAAAAATCCCTGAAGCCACAAAGTTCAAAAAGGCAAAGAATGTATTCATCCCTACAGCCTTCATAGCAAATGCAGCTCTGCCAACACCTGATTCCAGACTCTGGCATCCAGAACCGTATTTATAATATTAAATATCTATTTGAAGACACTGAGTGTTTGGTAATTTTTACAGCAACCCTAGGAAACCAATACAGTTACTGTGTTCCTTGTCTGGAGGCTAGGAGAGAGCAAGCTCCATCTTCTTGGCCATGTGCTCCTACAGTTAGAGCTTCTGTCCTGCTGAGGTTGAGGTGGAGGAGGTGAGCAGATTGTGGCAAGAGCATTACATGTTAGTATCCTTCTTATGGAGGTTTGGGATTTGTAGATTTTCTTGAGGAAATACTTCTTTATTTGCTGTATGCCTTTAGGACAATTTACAGATACTTTAAATGGCTGTTTGTTTGTTTTTCCTAATAATTTTCACCAGTTATGGTTGTTTGACTAAGAAGCTGGTTCACAGAGCTCCTCACCAGGTGTTCCAGAAATGGATCATCCCAAGTTTGGTTTTTATCAGAGCCTAACTCAGACTAAAACAACACAAGTATGTGAAATACAGAAGTTCAGTTAAAGTAATTATGTCTTTGCAGCATATGATAACAAAGATATTAGATATATTTGAAAAAACTAAATGCCATGCTAGTCTATTTAGTTGAAAATATATCATTCTCCCTGACAAACTCATCTAGCAAGAAGATAAAAATGCAATGTACTTAAAATGAAGCAATCTTCAGTAGCTTTATCAAGTTTTTCCCTCCAATGTTATATTAAAAAATGAGATCTTCTTTTCCAAATACTCTTACAAGCAAAAGCCCTCTTATTATTTCAGTAGATGCAAAACTGCTTTTCGGAAAGGAAAAAAAAACCTAACTCTGCCTTTTTATAGTCCTCATAAGCATGTAAGTTGGATAATACCCCATCAGTGCTAAAATATGTCAGGCTTTGAAATTTTTACAATCTCAATTCAAAAGATAAAAAGTCTACATTTCCATCTGCTTGATTTTATCTAAATAATGCACATGTCTTTTCAATAAACCACCCAGAACTCTTGTACTTTAGATACTCTCAGGAATGTTAATATTTTATTGTCTTTTGCCAGGTCCTGCACAGAGTACTACAGAAATGATTGATATTCCAAAGAACTATACTAAGAGATGTATTAACTATTCATTCATCCAGTTTCTCAAATCAGAATTCTCCTCTCAAATCAATTCAGATCTTGAAAAATTACAAATATGAAATATATTTTACTCATAAATATGTTAGATTCTCTAATATTATATTTTCTCTGCTTTTACTAGCAGCAATGATTAAAAACAAGCTGCAATAAATTTCTTTGTATTTTTGGTAATAGCCATTAGAAGAAATTATACATGAAATGTCTCCTTTTCATTGTTATAACAACTTCATCTTTATGTCAGTTTTGGTAGATACCCAAAAAATAGGTGGTTCATTAGTTTTTTTAATCATACTTTTTAATATTTACTTACATCATAGAGCTGTTAAAATTTATTAATAGTTGAAAATCATTTTGAATTTGAAGAGTGTCAAAACAAGTTAATAATTATTAATTTATGTTGAGAAATGCAAGACGCTATGAAAGAAAATTGAACTCTTTCCAAGACCAGGTGCATTTGAAAAATGTTAATGCATAAATGCTGATAAAGGCTACATTATTCTAATAAAAGAATTATACTTCTTCTTCCAGTAAAATAATTTGTTACTAAAAAAATTAATTAGAGTAACTAGCAGATTTTTATTTGTTCAATACAGAACTCAATGTACAAAGTTTGGGCATTATGTTTTGGAGGCTTACAGAAAGAAACAGTTTACACAAAATAATAAATAGTTATTAAATTATCCAGGTGTTTTAGAAGAAGCACAAAACCTACTACTAATTATAAATAATAATAGAATTCCAAGACCAATCTATACTAGTTTAGAAGTAATAAAGGTAAGACATTTCTACTCTGTGTCCTATGGGTATCTTTCTGGTGTTCTTCTGAGGAGTTTCTGAGAAACTTCATCTTCCAAATGGGTTGGGTTGTTTTTTTTTTTTCATTAATGATCTCTGAAAATTTACCTCTTATTTCCTTGGTATCTGATATTGTTAAAATGTGAAAATTTCTGAGAGATGAAAAAGTTTCAGCTTCGTATCTCATTTGCATCACCCTATAAAATTTAGTTGATATGCAAGGATAATCTGAACTGAATGGAAGCCTGAGACACTTCTGCTCTTTAAGGGATCCCAATATACTAAAAAACATGATATAAAAAACATGGTTAAATTTATGATATATTTTAAATATTTACAAATAGAAAATTAGCCCTTTAAGTACATACTCACCCACAAATGCAATGATTTTGTGCCTACCATCATTTGGAAAGAGAGTCAACAGTCTAAATTTGAGCACCTTATAGAGGTGAGACTGGAACTAAATGACTTTCCAAGTCAATCTGTGAGAGACCTTCCTGGGCTGAGTAAGGCGAACGTGGAACGTATCAAGTCTCTGAGTTACAAAAGCAAACATAAAATGGAGTAAAAATTTTGAAGTTGAACGTAAGAAAACAAATCTTAATCTATTTTACAGATTTGATCATTGGCTAAAGAAGTATTTTATTATTACTCATCAGTGTGTCTTGTTTTACATTTTCATGAACAAATCATAAAAAAGAATCATCTATCAAAGTTTATGTACTTACTTGTATCTTGGTACTTTTTGCTATGAAAAACCACTGCCATAAATTTATAGGACATTCCATACACAGAAGTAATGCAGACTTAAGTGTATACAAACTAATTGGAATATTGTATTAATCTGATTACTTTATGAATGGAATAATGTTGAAGATCAAAAAATGTCTACAAGAACCAGAAGAGAAGAAAGAAGAGCAAAGCACATTTATGACACAATCCACATGGAATAACTAATTGCTGGTTTCAGTTTTTGGATGTGAAAATTTACTGCCTTCATGGCGTGGTCTGTTTTGAAAAGTCTTCCCAATCAACTACATATTTTTAGATAATTATTGGTTTTTAACCAATAATTATCCATTAATTATTATATATAATACATATATATGGATATATGTTTGTGTATGTATTTATATATAATATATGCACATATGTAAACCAGTTATAAATTAGAAAATAATTTTAGTTAATTTTTATATATAATTCATATATTTTCAAATTATGCTTATGTGATAATCAGACAGAACCTGTTCTATAGAATATGCATATGCAGGCTTAATTCAGGGGGATGAAGTTGCCCAGGCCAGTTATACATTAAAAGAAAAAATTTAATTGAATAAAATGATGTTAGACAAATTATTCTGCTTTGTGCTAAATTTGGAGGTTTTTCAGAATTAATATTCTTTCTCTGTATAATAAATTCTAATAGTATCTATCTTACAAGCACAGGGAAGAATTAAGTAAACAAGAAGTCGTTTCATGTTTTTATTTTTATATAATTTCTTTTTTAAATTTGATTTGTTTCTCAAAAGCAACAAAACAATAAAAAATAAATTTTTTGAATAAAAAATTTGAGACAAAATTCATTCTTGCTCCTTAGAATTCAATTCTGAATCTAATTTTGTAGATAAATGTTGATGAGCTTCGAGTTCATGGCTAATGACTGAGAATGTTTTAGAAATGGTAATATAGAAAAAAATTTAAGTGTATGCAAAAGTGTATCATACATTATCAATATGCATGCATGTATATGTATATTTTCTTTATTATTAAATAACTAAAGTTCAAGATTCTTTTTTTCTTTACTAATCAAAAATTCTCAAACATGTGCTTTTTAACATCCTTATTATAACCAAGCACTGATAAACAAATATTGACAAATGTATCTGGATGTTAACAAGAATTGGCTCAAATTTTAAGTCAGTCTTATAATTATCAAGGAAAAAGTGAAGGTTTTATTTATTGGAAAAAAAGCAGTTATCAGGCATGAATGTATTACATTAGATGTAGATCATTAGAAAATACTACTGTACTATATCTATATTCACAGAGATGTCATTTTGTTAAACTCCCGTGAAGGCTTAGCTAATTATTTATTTACAGATTATGCCTTTAGATTGGTTTTGAATTAATTCCAATATGTTTTCTGAGCATAAAAAATAATAATTTAATTATTTTTAGTAGGAGTTAGTTATTATCATTGTCTCAGGAACTGAATGGATATTGAATAGAGGCTGATTGAGGTAAGTTTCACCTGTGCATTCAATACATAGTTCTAATAAATTGTAACAATAAAAGTTAGTGAGAGAAAGAAGAGACATATAACTTGAGGGGAAATCATACAACTAGAACTTTTATTTTTAATATACAAATGGTCATCAGTTGTATCTCCCTATCTGAACACAAATAATTACCACACTTAGAAATATGATTAAAAGGGTAAGTAATTCAATTTGTCAATCTTTCTTGAGTGTCTACTTACCTGTGCAGCAATTTCTGGGGGTGGTCGAACAAAATAAATGAGATAACATGTCCAGAAAAAAGACCCACACTATGTGGCAGTGATGGTTGCTATGGAAAGAACATAGAACATGTTACACATTTCCCCTTCTTCCCAGTCATAATTGTTTATATGGATCAATAGGTCAAAGTGTATGAAATCAAAAGCTCCACTTGTTTAAAAAAAATCATCAGGATCATTTTATTGGTCTATGTCAGACATCCTCAAACTACAGCCCTCGGGCCACATGCGGGCCACCTAGCACATTTATCCAGCTCTCCGGGTGTTTTTGCCACCGCTGCCTGTCCTGCTTAGCAGCTGACTCCTCCTGGGCCCACAGCGCGCACTCTCCAATGGTCTGAGAGACAGTGAACAGGCCCCCTGTTTAAAAAGTTTAAGGCCCCCTGATCTATGTCATGACAGTACATACATCAACTTGTGACCAATTGTTTTCCCGTTATTATGCATTAGACAATAAGCTCCTAGAAGTTACAGATGTTCTCAGTACATAGTATAGTGGTCCATGTGCATGTGGTAAGTTCTCAGCAAATATCCCCTAGAAGAAATATCCACTGAAAGAAAACTGCATACAGGCTCAGGTAAAGTGGGAAATACTTCTTGATTATAGCTTACACTGCAAGTAACTCATTCTAAGAAATGCTAATGACAGTATCTGTCCTTGCTGATCAGCAAAATCTATTTCTTGTAGTAAAATTTAAATTTGCTTGTTGCAAATAGAGATAGTAGAGTACCAAATAATTTTATTAATTAGAATAAGCAAGTTGTTATACTTTTGGTTTAAATAGCATTCAACAAGACTGAAAATTTATGTCTGATTATTAGATTTGTAATTATTGTGAGGTATACTAAAACCCAATGACTGATTTTTACCTATGTTTCCTTTTTATTAATATTTACTTATTACTTAGTAAACTAAGACATATGACATTAAAAATATCTTCATATTGACATGAAAATTCTGATAAGGATATACCTTGGTTATCTAATTTGAATTATGTATTTTAAAGTTTTCATAGGCAGAAACTTTATCTCAGAGGAAGTGCATTTTTTTCAATTAACTACAGTGGTGTTAAAACTTAATTAGAAGTAAAATTCTAAAGACAAAATAATACAGTAATTGTGTATTGCAAAAAATTCTTTTTTGGGTGATGCTTACATCATGTCTTCCAAACTTAATTTTGCATTCAGAGTTGTGTATAGTAATGTTTATGTGCATAAAAATTTGAGAACCATGGAACTACTGGAGTAAAGGGAAAAAATGAAAACCTCTAAGCAGGTACAAGAGTTTTCAAACCATCTTACCTTTAAGAGTACTGACTGATTAACACTATGGTGCTCAAATGGTGGTGTTGTTCCCCTGGGATTCAGGGATTGGGGGGTAGACCCACATCTGAGGGATGTGGTGAGCATTGTGGAGGGGAAGGGCATACCTCTAACCCTTTCTAGGGAGAGGCAAAGATATAAAATGCAACCAAAATGTTTGCACTTTCATATTATCTTGAAATAAAATAAAAATTAAAAAAAGATAAATCTATAGTGGATAATGGAAGGGGAATATGTAAATGATTAGATAAGGTTCCTACTGGCCTGACTTTAACATCCAACCTCTATATAGCATGCAGGTGCCACAGCTTTAAAAACTCTCACATTTCTAGAGTAAGTAGGGGATGGGCCAAGAATTCTAAAAGTCTGGGCTTTCTTAAATGATTTATTCTATTATTATATCTTAAAATTATTCTTCTGCCATCTTAGTGAATGTTAATACATTTTTGGAGATGCATACTCTTTGCTGTTCCTTAAACACATCAAGTGTTCTCTACCTCATGAACTCTGTTTCCTTCTCCTAGTCCTCTTAAAACATCTTTACCCATTAATCCATGTCATTCAGTTTTTATTCTTTAGCTCAAAAATTATTATTGGGGACATCTCACAATACCAGCCCATATATAATAGCCCTCCCCTAGCACTACTTATTATTATTGAGGACATCTCCCAATACCAGCCCATATATAATAGCCCTCCCCTAGGACTACCTAACACATTCCTAATTTTATTTTCTCACAGCACTTATCACTATCTGACATTTACTTCTTCATTTATAGTTTTTTTAATCCATACTGGAATTCATACTCCGTGAATTCATAATCAGCTGCTGTTTGCTGCTCATTCTCAGACATTAGAAGAGTGCCAGGACCATACATTTTCTTTAAATAATTATAGAATGAATGAATGAATAAATGAATTAATTAAATATTCAATATAGATAAAATAAGACAGTAATGTAGTCAGTAGTGAGTGTATGTGCTAGGAACTCTACTCACATCCATTCTTATCTGTGTTTGTATGATCCTTGTTTCACATTTCACATATATGATCCTTGTTTCACATTTCATTTCATAGCCTGAAAACATTTGACTTACCCCTCAAATTCTAGGGTATTAGTCCATTTAGAATCAAAGAACCATACCATCACCAAATAAAGAGGAAAATAGAGAAAAATCAATGAATCTAAAAAATTATTTGGAAAGATTAATGAAACTGATAAGCCTCTAACCAGGCTAGTAAAGAAAAAAGACAGCGAATATACAAATTATCAGTATCAGACATAAAAGAGAAGTGATGACTACTGAATTTATAAACATTAAAAACGTATGAAATACTACAAATGCAACAAATAACTCTGTAACCACTTATTTGATAACTCAGATGAAAGGAACCAAATTTTTAGATAATATAAACTAATTTATATTCATATAAATTTATATAAATTCAACAATTATAATATTTTATGAAATCCATGTTATATGGAACTTATCATTAAAAGAGCAGTCTACCAGTGTGGGATGAATCAATCTTGTTACAAATTGGATCTAGCCTTCAAGTTTATGTTAGGTTTACAGACATGAATGTGACAGAAATAGTAAGCAGAAACCATTTCCAGAATTATACTAATGCCTAAAATAATTTCTCATACAGACCAGCCTAAGTGACTTGAATTTTACCCTTAGAGATATATATTTTCTATGTTAAACATTTGCATTTACAGGAAATACAACTATGCTGTAATTGGTACTTGGAGAAATAACACATTAGCCATCACAAGTCAGCAACACTACAGTGTAGATTAGATTATCTGATTATTTGTTAAAGAGGAATGAGACAAAGATGCAATGAGTAGAATAACATAATAGCATAAATATATATAGTCATTCAAGTTAAATACTTCCAATGGGCAGTATTGCCTCTAGTCTCCCATGTTAGGGCCCCATAAACACCTCATTCTGTATTTTCTATCACTTCTCAAATGTACCATTTTTTTCAGTGCACACAACAATTTAGAAATCCTTTCCAGAAGTGTGCCTCTCACACCACCTTGTATTTGCATATGATGTCCTGAAATAGCCTTTTCCCACTTCTTTATCAAACCAAATCTAACCCATTCTGGTATCTTTTGAAGCTTTCCAGGTTAATTTCCCCTTCGGTATATATTAATAGCATCTTGTGATTGCTTCCAACACCCTATTTATCATGTGGAATACAAATTAACTAATAGTAAACTATCTATTGGACTCAGAATGCTTGTGTTTAGAGACTATGTTTTGTTTTGTTTTCATCTTAGGACCTGACCACCTAGTGACGGATTTGAATAAAGAAGGAGTCCATAAATGTTTTTTGAAGAAAGAATGATACCTTGAGAGGACAAGAAGATGTGGAAATTTTCTATTTCAGGGGAAAAACAGTTTGCAGTTGAAAAGACAATTAGGTCTGTTATTAGAGCCTGCTGACAACCAGTAAGACTAGTTTATACCATTAAATAAAGGCACACAACTTCATAAATGATACAACTCTAACTCAGAATTTAATATTGATTAGAATGCTGGAAAAGTGAACAGAAGAGAAAAACAGATCAGAAGAGATAGCATAGCTACCATTATCTAGAGCCATAAAGACTTTCAGGAGAGGCAAAATAGTTCAGAGGAAATTTGAAGAGCTAAGACAGAGTCTTCAATTCTTCATCAAGGTAAAGGCAGGATCCAAGTGTTTTGAGGTATCTATATGGTAGTAATTCAGTCAGTACACAGCCAGAAATGAGGAATTAAAGGTTATAAAGAAAAAAAAATAGTATGCATTTATTTATATATGTATTTTTAATTGACAAATGATAATTGTGCATAAAGAGATACATGTATAAAGAAAATGTGGTACATATACACAATGGAATACTATGCAGACTTAAAACCCTGGAGGACATTAGGAATAGTATCTTTATACAAATATTGGAAGCACATTCTGGAGACTAAGGATCTCATAAGTCTTGGTATAACTTTCATAAAAAATCTTTTTGGACTGAAGAATGATGTCATACTCACCAGTGAAACTGATTATGAATGTAAGATTGGCCTGAACTGATTGACAGCATGAAAAGAATTATAGCATTCCCCCAAAACACACAGGCATAGACTGTAGAGGGAAGCCTAGGCTAATTCACTATTGAGAGAAGTCCAGAAATACGAAATATTAGCATCATTTTCTAATTTCTAGTGATATTTTAGGTGTGTTTCAAAGGAACAAAAAAATATGATAGTTAAGAAAGTGTGCCCCTTTCTGTAGAACAGGCAGCAAGAGCAAAATTAACACACGAACTATCAATTGAAGAATCACAAGGTTCATAAATTTGGAAAGGAGAGCTTTTTTCCTACAGGCTGGGAAGTGTACCCTTGGGCAGAAACCAAGAGCAAGAACTTCCAAGAAGAGTAAAGGGAACAGGAATTAATGCTGAGCAGAGTGGCCAAATATACTTATTTAATAACCTATAGGAGGAGTTATGAATATTTATGAAAGTAGAAGCCTGCACATGTGCAATTGAGCTTCATGCTTCTTTATGAGTCACACGTTCAAAGAATGGAGGCAACAGCATGATCCAACGATAGAGTTTTTGGTCCTCCATAGACTTCCCAGAACCACTCCATGATCCTTTGGTAGTGGATTCTTATCGGGAAGGCATGTGGTTGGGTAGTGTACAGAAACCACAAAAGAGAGG